CCCCACCCTGTTCCAGTCTCTCTCTCTGTTTGCCTCTTCAGAGGCCTGGTCTGGCGCCGCTGTCTCCAGACCAGCCCCACTGCCTCTGGGGCAGGACAGCTTGGCTTTTTCCACCCTCTTTCTCTCCCAGCCTCCTAGGACACTTTGCTCCATTGTCTGGCCAGCTGCTCCATACTCTGATGTCACCCCTGGACAGTGGGGCCAGAGAGCAGGGACCAGGGGCGGAAGCTAATGAGGGATGGGACAGAATAAATACACAGCCACGTGGTGATTTCCTTAGGCTGGGAGAACACCCTGTGTCCAACCGTCCTGTTATAACATCAACACCAAGTGGGCACTTACTGCGCGACAGGACTGGGCATCATGTCTTGTCATCTCTATCACAACTGTCTGAGGCAGGATGCTATTTTGTAGGCAGGAAAACTGAGGCTAGGAGGATAAGAAACTTGCCCAAGATCACCCACCTGCTAAGGGGCAGAGCCAAGATCTGAACCTTGGCAGTCTGACTTCAGAGTTCTTAATGCTCATGTTATGCTATTTCTCCCAGCGTGACACACACACACACACACACACACACACACACACACACACACACACACACACAGGCCTGGGCAGTGTGAAATCCCATCAGGACCCCAAAGAGCCCACCTCCTGCCAGCCCGCATCACCCAGGGCTGACGACCTTGCCATGTGACATGGTATTTCTATCACACACCGGCAGTCACGGCCTAGATTCCTGCGCGAGACATCAGCCTTATGCCTACTCATCCTTCAAGACTCAGCTCCTTGGGGAAGCCTCTGCCACTCCCCAGGCTCTATAGACACCCTTCTACAAGACTTGGTCTCCCTCCGTGTCCCAGCATCATTGCTTAGGGGCTCCTGGAGGTCTGTGGGCCCAGCTCACAGAGCGCATGACGGATTCGCTGAAGGGTCCTGGGACCAAGGGCCTGCAGTGTGCTGCTCAGCCACAGGCTGTGAAAGGGCCTCTGTGGGGTCCTCCCTCCTTTTCCCAGCTCCTTTTCCTGATTCTGTCCCCTCCTCCTCCCACCTCCCTGAGGAGTCCAAAGTCTTCCTCCTGCTCTAGGAATGTGTGATTAATATAGGCAGGATAGGTGGCAGGGATCCTGGGTCCTATTTTTGGCTGTGGCCTCATTCTGGAATGTGCCCCGAGGTCAAATGACACTCTTCTCTAGGGCTGGGTCAGGAGGAAGGAAGAACAACTCTAGCCGGCCACCCCTTGAGGGAGCAGGTTGGGCGGGTAGGTGGGCAAGGGGACCAGCCCTCTCCTTCCTGCCTCTGCTCCTGAGCCCCTCAGCGCTTCTCTCTGCGTGGGGCTGGAGCCTCTGTGTCCACATCCCAAATGACACCGGGACACGGAACTCTGGCACCCCGCTTTCCAGCAACACCCTGCCACCCTCAACCCCACTCAGATGAGCAGAAAACAGGACTCAGCTCCAGCACCTCCTGACCGGACCCTCCCAAGGCACGTCTGTGGGGTGAGGTGGCCCTTTTCAAAGGGTGTTTTGCCCTTTTCGAGTCTTGAGGATGCTGCTAGAGACTGGACGGGGCGGTGATGGCCCCATCCCGATGACGTATTTTCCGTCTTGGTGTGAGGGACACATTCGGTCCTGTCGGAGGATGGTGGCTGTTTTGCCCTCCTGTGTGGGTAGCAAGGAACCTCAGGACAGCGGCACAGCATCAGGAGAGAGGAACGGGCACTCGAGTGCTAACAGCTCCGCATGGGATGCTACTCACATAGTCCAATTTGATCTCACGACCCTCTCCGAGCTGATTTTGCTCTGTCACCCTATGATGTATGCCACCCTAGGCTACAACGGTCAGGAGGGCAAAGCCAGTATGTGCTGTGGTCACCTCTACGTCCCCAGCACACGGCCTGACCAGAGAGGGTGTTTGATAAATAGACGTGGAATGAGTGAATGAAGCGAGCCCCCAGACCTTATGGAGAAGAGGCTCCTCCTGGGTATTATTGTCCCTCTTAGTGACCCCTTATTTCATCCACCACTCCTCATCTCAATGCACCTCAAGGGGTAACAGAATAAAGGGGAAGACAGCCTTAGTGCCCCGGTGTGACCAATAACTCAGGCTCAAAGTGGAGCACAACGTCAGTGAGACACACAGACGGTGGCCCAGCCCCACCTCAGGCCTCATGGAAGGGGAGTGCCCTTACCAATGAGGCGTCTGGGTGGCGGGGTTAATAATTTCCATTACTAATAGCTAACAGCACCCAATCTGTGCTCAACATACATTATCTCATTAAATATTTTCAACCCTATGAGGTGTGTATTATTCACCCCAGTTTAATATTCTCTCCACTTTAAAGGCGATGAGACAGGCTCAGAAGGGTAGAAAAATTTGCCCAAAGTCCCTGGCCAAGTAGGTCCTTCTGTGTGATCTCAAGCACATGCATCGAATCACATGTATGCTATCTTCCCCCACAGCTTCAAGAGCAGTGGAGTCCGGCTTTCTCTCGCTTTTGCTTCCTCCCTTTTTCCTGCTAATCCACCAGCAAGGTTTACTGCCTAGGATTCTGAAAAGACAAGTTTTAGGCGAGTTCAGCTTCCCTAAGTATGCTGAGACCATGTCCTTCAGTCCCAGCCACAGGCAGAGATAAAGATATAGAGATAGAAGGACAGAGAGTTCAAGGCCCCTCTCAGAAGTGTAGCGAAGAGTTCCAGTTATTCCATGGGGGAAAGAGGAATGTGCTTAATGCTTTATGCATCTTATATAATCCTCGCACTAACCA